CTGTTTACATACCGACACGGGGTCAACAAAATCACTTTTTCAATCACAGGGAATGTAAATATTCGCTCTGACTGCAATAGGCATTGACAGGTATTCTTTTTTATTAATCTGGGGTCTGTTAGACTCTAAATATCTCCTCTGCCCTTACATCATCTGATCTCACCAAGATCAGATGCTTTCACAATTTACAAATGGCTTTGTTTATATCCTGAAGTGATGAAATTCTCATAGGTTCCGATTTCTTAGACTATAGAGATATTTGGAGCCATTCTGGTTTCTGATCAGCTCTATGGTCAGCTAGTAGAACTCCCGGCTGCATTCTCAGATTTCCCTGTGGGACATGAGAGCCCAAGAAAACTGTGGAAGGCAGCAGGGTGGGGCTGTCCCCTCCCACTGCTTGTAAAAACAATTCAGCAGATAATTAGCCACTAGGATTGCTTTTACATGAAAGATGACTGCAAGCTGAAAAAAACAATACCAGGATTATGCCTGTAGCTGCAGGCATCATCCCGGTATAACCACTCAAACTCCAGCGATGTACCAGTACATTGCTAGTCCATGTTGGGCATATACAGTTGCAAGAAAAAGTATGTGAACCCCTTGGGATTACGTGGAGTTTTGCATGAATATGGGCATAAAATGTGCTCTGAACGTCATCTAAGTCACAACAATAGAAGAACACAGTCTGCTGAACATAATACTACACAAACATTAGATGTTGCCATGGTTTAATTGCACATAACATGTAAACATTCACAGTGCAGGGAGGAAAAAGTATGTGAGGCCCTAGCTTAATGACTTCTCCCAGAGCTAATTGGAGCCAGGAGTGAGCCAACCTTGACTCCAATCAGTGTGATGATATTGGATGTGTTGCTGACAGCTGTCCTGCCCTTAAAAAACACACACCTGTTTTGGGTTTACTGGTTTCAAGAAGCACTGTCTGATGTGAACCATGCCTCGCAGAAAAGAGCTCTCAGAAGACCTACCATCAAGAATTGTTGACTTGCATGAAGCTGGAAAGGGTTACAAAAGTATCTCCTTGAGCCTTGATGTTCATGTGTCCACGGTAAGACAGACTGTCTACAAATGGAGAAAGTTTAGCACTGTTGCTACTCTCCCTAGGCGTGGTCGTCCTGTAAAAATGACTGCAAGAGCACAGCGCAGAATGCTGCATGAGGTAAAGAAGATTCCCAGAGTGTCAGCTAAAGACCTACAGAAATCTCTGGCACATGTTAACATTTTTGTTGACACATCTACAATAAGGAAAACATTAAACAAGAATGGAGTACATGGGAGGACACCACGGAGGAAGCCATTGCTGTCCAAAAAGAAGATTGCAGCACGTTTGAAGTTTGCAAAAGAGCACCTGGATGTTCCACAGCACTACTGGCAGAATATACTGTGGACAGATGAAACCAAGATTGAGTTGTTTGGGAAGAACACACAACACTATGTGTGGAGAAAAAAAGGCACAGCACACCAACATCAAAACCTCATCCCCACTGTGAAACATGGCGGAGGGAGCATCATGGTTTGGGGCTGCTTTGCTGCCTCAGGCCCTGGACGGATTGTTGTCATTGATGGGAAAATGAATTCCAGAGTTTATCAAGACATTTTGCAGGAAAACGTACGACCATCTGTCCGCCAACTGAAGCTCCGTAGAGGATGGGTGATGCAACAGGACAATGACCCAAAGCATACAAGTCATTCAACAAAACAATGGCTGCAACAGCACAGAATACGCCTTCTGGAGTGGCCCAGTCAGAGTCCTGACCTCAACCCGATTGAAATGCTGTGGCATGACCTTAAGAGAGCGATTCACACCAGACATCCCAAGAATATTGCTACACTGAAACAGTTTTGTGAAGAGGAGTGGTCCAAAATTACTCCAGATCGTTGTGCAGGTCTGATCTGCAACTACAGGAAACGTTTGGTTGAGGTTATTGCTGCCAAAGGAGGGTCAACCGGTTATTAAGTTCAAAGGTTCACATACTTTTTCCTCCCTGCACTGTGAATGTTTACATGTTATGTGCAATTTAAACCACGGCAACATCTAATGTTTGTGTAGTATTATGTTCAGCAGACTGTGTTCTTCTATTGTTGTGACTTAGATGACGTTCAGAGCACATTTTATGCCCAATTCATGCAAACTCCACGTAATCCCAAGGGGTTCACATACTTTTTCTTGCAACTGTATGTAACAGCAGAGAACAAGGGCATATGATGAATTGGGCCTGTGGACCAATATGACCGCAATTCATTCTTTCTTGTAATGCCCATGTTGAGCGTTAGGCCCAAAAGAGTTTTAAATTAGGAAACCGTGATAGGTTTCAATGCGAATTGTCTGGCAAGAGCTGAATTTGGGTGGGCGGCCATGTATTGTTGTGTGTATAAATTGCCTTGACCCACAATCAATCGGTACAAATATTCCATGAAAAACAGCAGAAGGGCGAAACACTAGTGCTGGCAGCGAACGGGGCTGACCCTGCTAACACTGCATTTTTGGGGACACTATACTAAGCAGGCACTAGTATAGTTCTGTTCATGATCAATATCTTGATCCGTACAAACACTATACTAGTAATGGGGGGTGAGCGCAGGCGTGTTCACACCCAAAAATAGGAAGCAACGCAAGATTACGTTGCTTGGCAAGAGCTGCTACCCGCCCGTAAAATGTGGGCAAGTGGTTGGCAAGTAGTTAAAAAAAAACCCTTGCCCCTTAAATATTCTCAATATGGTATTTTTTATTTTATATTTTATTTTTATTATTTTAATACTTTTATCAGAATAGTACAATGTTACCACAGTAACATTGTACTCCTGTGTGGGGAGGGGTTGATCAGGGATTTTTTTTTTTACACTTTGCTTTGCAGGAGAAATAAAGATAATTTCTCCTGAAATGCAAAGCTTGCTGTCAGGAACCTAACTCATTCATGAACTGTCATGAATGAGTTAGGTTTTTTGACAGCTCAAGATAGTGATCTGTAATTGGCTGGAGCTGGTCACATGGTACAGGGTGCTGTGATTGGCCCCATGTATCATGTGACAGCTGTGGGCCAATCACAGCTCACTAGAAGGAGAAGCAGAGCTGTTATGAATGAGATTGATTCATAACAGCTTTGCTTACATTGTGATCATGTGTTCGCATAGCTATCACATGATCACGGGGTCCAGTTCACTGGGATCTTCATTCCACTGTGTTCGCTGGAAAACAACAGTGGCGAGGGGGGAGTGCAGCGCCCCCGCAGTGCAGCGTCCCCTGTGTTAGTACAGCTAGAGCAACGTAAGGGGGGGGGGCCGAACTGTGACCAGTGTGAGTAGAAAATGTCCCAGCATCAGTGGGAGTAAACACTGCTCCAACATTGGTTTTAACAGGACAAAAAGTGCTCCGTTGTTGGCTTTAGCAGGAGGAATAGTGAACCATGGTTGGCATCAACTAGAGGCATAGTGCCCCCATCGATGATGTCAGTGGGAGAAAGAGTGCCCCATCATTGGTCTTAGCAGGAAGAATAGTGCCCCATTGATGGTATCAGCAGGAAGAAGAGTGTCCCATTAATGGTGAAAGTGGGAGGAATGGTGCCTCATCATTGGTGTCAGCTGGAACAACAGTGTCCCAAGGGCCAGATAGAGGCAAGCACAGGGCCACACGTCACCCCCCGGGCCGCGGTTTGGAGATCACTGGTCTAGGTAATTGAAACCATTTCTTCTGTTACTTCTACATGCCACCAAGAACCTTTTAGGATTTCCACCTTAAATACATTATCTCCATCATGTTTAAATAAAGGTAAATACCAACTTTTAGTTATTAAAATAGAAAAGGACCTCTTGCGCTGCCAATAAAACCCTAACCACACTAAACTAAAAGCCTCAACAGAAAAAGCTGCTAGCACCCAACTATATAACCAAATAGTAAGAGTACATTTGAGAGCCCTGATGAAGTCACGTGATTCGTGACGTAACACATTGGACAGGAGGTGTGGTGATGTCAGTTCCCCGTGACCATAGATCTAGTCTTCAGCTCTCTGACACAAAGACAGACGTAGCATCGTTCTCAGGGGCCACTGCAACTGGACTTTGCTGCAACATTCATCTGATGGTGTTTCTATCAATAAATTCCACCAGAACTCCCATCAAGCCCTTTGCTGATAATATCTGTTTGTACATTGGATGTACTATTATTAGTCTTTTCTTGAAAAGTGTTTTCTTTTACCAGAAACCTGCTTATGCAGATGCCGGGAGGCCGCACATTGTGAGGCTGGCGTGAAGGGGTTAAATAATACCCTTTGTTATAAGTGTAGGCCATTTATGCACCTCATGAAGGCTGACTGGAATATCCCCAGGACGTTATTAGGACATTGCTAAGTGAGGTCTAGTCATTACTGCTTACCTCCACCATCACAGGAGTGAGCTTTTTCTCTGAATCAAAGCCCCTCACATTCTCTCTCCCCCCCGACCCTGTAGCTCTGAACTCAGAGTCAAAGCTCACTCCTGCAATGGAGGAGGTGTACAGTAATGACTAGGCCTCATCTAGCAACTCCCTGGGAGTTTTCCAATCAGGCTTCAGAGGGTATGTAAATGACCTACACCTATAGCAAGGGCATTATTCAACTATCATCAGAGTTGCACAGTTTGATTTTATCTACAGACACCCCATATCTGCATAGGCAGCTTTTTGGTAAAAGTGAACGTTCTCTTTAACCACCTCCTGCCCGCCATATAGTAATATGACGGACACAAGGTGGTTCTCTCGTCATATGACGTCCTCCCATTCTCACTGCACAATCGCGGCTCAGGGAGCGCGCAGAGCGGTGATCGCAGGTGTGCGGTGTCCCTCGGACACAGCGGATCACCAATCATGGAAAGAGCCGAAGATGGCGGCTCAGTCATGTGATCAGCTGTGTCCAATCACAGCTGATCACATCTAAACAGGGAAATGCCAGTTATCGGCATTTCTCTCCTCTCGAGAGGAGAGGAGAGACGGTAATTGGCTTTCCGCGGAGGGGACATGTACACTGATCATCAGGGCACTGATGATCAGTGTGCCCTGATGATCAGTGTAGCCCCAGCAGTGCCACCTGTCAGTGTCCATCAGTGCCTTGTGTCAGTGCTCATTGGTGCCTCATGCCAGTGCCCATCAGTGCCACATCAATGCCATATATCAGTGCCTACCAGTGCACATCAATGCCACATATCAGTGCCCATCTGAGCTGCCTTTCAGTGTCACCCGTCAGTGCCACCTATCAATGCACACATATCAGTGCCCATCTGAGCTGACTTTCAGTGTCATCCGTCAGTGCCACCTATCAATGCCAATCAGTGCCACCTATCAGTGCCACATATCAGTGCTAGTTAGTGCCGCCTATCAGTGCGCATCAGTGCCGCCTATTAGTGCCAGTCAGTGCCGCCTATCAGTGCCATGTATCAGTGCTGCTTTTCAGTGCCCATCAGTGATGCCTCTCAATGCCCATCAGTGCCACCTACCAGTGCCTCCTCATCAGTGCCACCTATCAGTGTCCATCAGTACAGTCTATCAGTGCTCATCACTGCAGCCTCATTAGCGCACATCAGTGAAGGAAAAAAATCACTTATTTACAAAATTTTATAACAAAAAGTACGAAAAAACTTTTTTTTTCAAAATTTTCAGTGGTTTTTGGTTTGTTTAAGAAAAAAAAAACCCAGCGTTGATTAAATACCACCAAAATAAAGCTCTGTCACAATAAAATGATAAAAATTTCAGATGGGTACAGTGTTGCATGACCGTGCAATTGTCATTCAAAGTGCGACAGCGCTAAAAGCTGGAAATTGGCCTGGGCAGGAAGGGGGTAAAAGTGCCCTGTAGGCTTGTGGTTAAGCTTGTATTATTGTTTCCATGCTGGTGTGCATCTGTATACTTATGGTTAATGTTGTATGCTGGTTGCAGTAGTTTCTCTGCTTCCAATTACTTTGATTAAATTGCTGGTTGATTTTGCAGGAAGCGAGTTTCTTCTGTTCACAGAGGCCCTATCCTTGGTGGAGGCTCTGCCAACTTTATTGTCAAAACCTTTAATGAAGGTTATGGTTCTCTTATTTACCTACAGGTTTAGCGCATAATCCTTTTTGGGGTGGGCCATTTCTCATAACACCCTCAAAAGAGGGCTACATAATAAAAACATGAAACTGTAACAGACGTACTCAACTGTCATCCACATCACATTCCATGGAAAAACATAATTTCTGTGTGCAGGATACAGGCAATGTAAGGTAACCTGAATTCCAAGCACCAAAAAAATTAGTGTGGTCTTATGCTCATATTTGTGCATGTGCCCACTTCACACATGCTCACACCTCTAAGCAAAGAGGCAATGTTAGACATACCATTCCAGTTCTTCGTGATCAATTTCGTGCACACACACATACTAGTACACTGACCTATTTTAACTGGTCTGTCACCATGAGCAGTTGCTGAATGGTCTTCAGGTTGTACCTGTGTTCTTGAGACCTGATCCACAGAACCTGCTTATCTGTGTATGACCCAACTTTCCCCTGGACTTCTCCTTTGCTCCTGCCTTAACCTTGTGCATCTGATCACTCTGAGCACAGCCTGTTTGCTGGACTTGTCTTGGCATGCTGATTCTGTACTGCGCTGCCCAAAGGTTAGAGACCTTAGCCTGCTTACTGAACTTGCTCTGACTGCTGACTCAGTCCCTAGATGTCTACCTGTTGCTGCTAGATGCCTGCATATTGGCTCAGTTACCATCTCCTGCTCTGGTGCCAAACTGCTTGAGCATCTTGTCCTGAGAACTTCCAGCTTCATCCACTTAAAGAATGGACTTTGCCAGCCAGCTACTCCAGCACTCGTGCTACTCTGTGCCCTCACACTCTGTCGCCACCTTCAGGAGTGTTAGGCAGGAGGCATGATGAGAGGTCTCTACATCATTCTAGCCATCACCAGGTACGTGATAATTAAGCTGGTCCATGATGGTGAATAAGTGCTACATGAAGTACATGGAAAGCACAGATAAGCAGACCCACATTTCATAAGCAGCTAACATGTAGCATAGCATAAAGGAGCAGCATAGTAGCATAGTCTTTTTTTTTTATTTACATATTTATTAATTTTCAGATAAATACATGTTTCCATCATATTCTCATAAAACATACAAAACCATTATTTATTTCCCTTCCCTTCCTATCACTATTTCCCACACCCTCCCAACTAACCTCCCTTCCTTCCCTCCCTCCCTCCCCCCATTCTACCCACTCTGCGTTTCCCCACATCCTCCATACAAAAGCAAGAGGAGCATTCACACCATCACACACTATAGCTTCCTATATTTCATCTTCAATCCAAATTCTTCCCATTTTTTCCATTTCACATAGTATGACCCCATATTGTCTTCATGCATATGGTAAAGTTTCTCCATCCAACAAATCTGGTTCACTCTATCTACCCAATCTTCTTCCTTCCGCACCTCTGTCTTGCGCCAAAACTTGGGTATCAAACCTTTTGCTGCGTTTAGGTAATACCATATACCCGATTCCTTATATTTATTCACTGATAACTCTGTGCTATGTAAAAGACAAGTCTCTGGATCCAATCCAATATCAATTTCAGTAATCATCCTAATTAAATGAACTATTATCTTCCAAAATACTTGAATTTTTGGGCACTCCCACCATATGTGATACACTGTGCCTATCTCTCCACACCCCCGCCAACACCATGGTAATTTCTCCCCACTCATCTTATATTCATTCGGTGTAATGTACCATCTTATCAAACACTTATAGTTCATTTCCACCTTCCGCATACTTATATTCTCATGAGTTAATCTATATATTTTCTTCTGTTTGTCCTCTTCTATCACAACCCCCATATCTCTTTCCCATTTTGCTATACACATTGGCTTTGTGTTTGTGTTGTATTCAGTGAGAATCTTATATATTTTAGCAGTGCCATGTTTCCCATCTCCCCGTGATTCCAACAACCTCTCAAACAGATTCCAATTCTTTCTAGATCTCAAGGGTTTCGGAAGATTCCCAACAATGTGTTTTAATTGGTGATACCGCCACTCATCTATCTTAGTGAAAATTTCTCCCTTTTCCTTTTCCAAATCCTTAACTGATCTCAATTCCCCCACCATTATATCTCTCAATTAGACATCCTCCTTCTTAAACCATTTTCCTGTAATCTCCTCCCTACCTGGAGGAAAAAACTCTGTGTTCCTCAGTGGCATTAATAGAGAATTAAAATCCCACTTCATCTGTTTGTGCAATATATCCCAGACTCTTAAAACATTTAAAGTATATAAACTTGTGCTATCTTTTAATCCTCTATATTGTGCTGGCACCCATATATTTTTACTCAAATTAGTTCCACTAAGTGCATTTTCAATTTTGACCCAACTTTTCCCTTTTGGATTATGCGTCCAATCAAAAATTCTCGCTAAAATTACTGCTTTGTAATATCTCTTAAAATCTGGCACTCCCAATCCACCCTTCTCTTTATTTCTACTTAAAATTCATAGGATATTCTAGGTTTTTTATTCCTCCATATATATCTTGTTATTTTTTTAATTGCCTTAAAGAAAACCTCTGGGAGTTTGATTGGGATCATTTGAAATTTATATAGGATTTTGGGAACAATTACCATTTCTATCAGATTTATGCGTCCTATCCAGGAGGGGTTTCCTCCTCCTCATTTCTTTAATTCCCCCTTAATCTCGTTTAACAGTGAAATGTATTTTCATTTATACAAGTTCTTATATGAAGCAGTGAGTTTTACACCTAAGTATTTTATTTCTCTTTCTTTCCATATAAAGGAGAATTCCTTTTGTATCTTTTCTTTTTCACTATTTGAAAGATTTATATTTAAAATCTCAGTTTTTGTTGGGTTAATTTTTAAGTTTGATAACTCCCCATATTCCTTCAATGTCTTCATTAAATTTGGGAGTGTTATCCCAAACATAAATCAATAGGTCATCCGCAAAGGCAGCCACTTTATGTTCTATATCTCCTATCTGTATTCCCTTTATATCTATATTCTTCCTTATTGTTGACAACAAAGATTCCAATGACAAAACATACAATAATGGGGACAATGGACAGCCCTGTCTTGTTCCATTTGACATCCCAATAGACTCTGACATCTCCCCATTAACCATAATAACGGCAGAGGGCTACCTATACAACTTTCCTATCCACTCTCTCATTCTAACTCCCATCCCCAGGACTTCCAGAGTGTCCATCATAAAGCCCCAATCAACTCTCTCAAATGCCTTTTCGGCATCGATTGAAAGCACCACCACCAGAGTTTTTCCTTTTCTGCTTTTCTGAATGAGCAACAAAGATCTCAACCCATTGTCTCTGCCCTCCCTCCCTGGAACAAAGCCTACCTGGTCCCCATGTATCCTTTCGGGCATTAAATCTTTCAGCCTATTTGCTAAGACCTTTGCATATAGCTTAGTATGTGTTCAGTAAAGAAATTGGTCTATAACTAGAGCACTGAGAAGCATCTTTTCCTTCCTTATGGATAAGCACCACATGAGCCTGTAGAGATTCTCGCCTCATTTCCATCTCTCCCCCCAAAGCATTCATGTATATCTTCAATTTAGGTATTAACAATTCATTGTATTTTTTATAGTACCTTACAGTATAACCATCTGGCCCTGGGCTTTTTCCCGTCAGAGTACTTTTTAATGCTACTTTTATTTCTTCCTGTGTAATTTCTGAATCTAGGGAGTTCAGTTGTACTTCGCTTAATTTTGGTAGACCCGCATTTTTTAGGTATGTCTTTCTTTTTTCGATATTCACAGTTCCAGTATTATTTAAAGAATCGTGGGAGATAATATTATACAACTTACTATAATATTCCTTAAACACCTTAGCAATCTCTTTAATTGAATGAACCAATTCTCCCTTGGAGTTTTTTATTTTTTCTGCATAATTCCTATTTTTCTTTTTCCTCATGGCTCTCAATAAGTACTTTCCTGGTCTATCTCCCTATCTGTACCTCTCACTTAACACTTTATTGAAGGCTCTTCTCTTCTCCTCTTCCATCAAAATCTCTAGTTCTTCTTTCTTTTTTATTACCTTCTGCCTTATCTCTTTTGTTATTCTAATTTTGTGTATCTGTACCAAGTCAAATATTTCCATTAAAAGCCCACTAATTTTCTCTCTTCTTTCTCTTTTCTTTTTTGCCCCAATCGCAATAAGAATTCCTCTTATATAAACCTTATGGGACTCCCACACTGTAGCTACCGACACATCTCCTCTATCATTCTCCTCAAAAAATCACTTAATCTCTTTCCCAATCTTCTGATCAGTCTCCTTATCCAGGAGACGTGCCTCATTCAACTTCCATCCTGAACCTCCTATCGACCGCTTCCCCTCCCTAATTTCATTGTAACAGGAGCATGATCCGAAAAATACATTACTTCTATTTCTACTTTAACCAAAAACTCAATAAGTTGGTGATCTACCAATATATAATCCAACCTCGAATACATCTCATGAGGTGGTGGGGGAGGAGTATTAAGGCTAACACTCTGCATGATGGGAGGAGTCAAAAAAGTAAGGAAAGAGCAAGAGAAGGGATGGAGGAGGAGAAAAGAGATTTAAGAAGGTTGGAAGAAATACAGTTTATAACTTAAAATGTAAACGGGTTGAATTGTCCTGGGAAAAAATTTAGGTTA